ATATATTGAAGTAGTTTCGTTAGGTGAAATAATGTATAAAATATTATATATTTATTATATATCTATGTTAAAAATGTTGTTATTGTTTTTGTTTTCGTTATTACGAAACGTATTTAAAATATTACCTTACAAATGTGTACAAGCAGCTTTCTTTTAAATTGAAAAGATAAAATAAGAGAGCAAATGAAAGAGTAACTCTTCCGAATTTGATCGATGAAAGTTTTTAAGTAAAATCGATTGTGGTGATGCTCGACGCTAACCAATTAGGCCGTCGAGAGGAAGAAGCCGATCGTTGCATTTCGACGTGGGCCACGCGCTTTCACAATACGATTTTGTGGTTTCCTTATGCAGCTGACTTCTCCAGGTTATATATATTCACGTGCACCGAAGGTAGTAGGAGCTTTTTATTCTCGTCTTGTATAATAGAAGAGATGTCGACCGAGTCGAAGAATAATCAATAGTCTCGACTAAACTTGGTATAGGTCATGAAAAAGATCCTTCCGTGTAAACGAGAAAGCGAAAGGACTAGGCAGCCAGCTGCGAGAACCTTTTCTTCTTTTATTAGTATTTCCTTCTTCATTCTTATTTCTACATATGTATATGTGTATATATATATGTACACACACATAAACTTTTGTTCGACAGATGTATACTAAAGCTTCGTTTCTTTTCTATATATTATGAAAAATGCGCTCTATTACAGTTGCTTCTAATTTTATCTTCACTTCGATCATCGTCCAAGAAAATGTTACAATTGTTAAAGAAATTTTTTTTTTTTTTTCTGAATATTTTCTTCTCTTTTTTCTTCTTCTATTCTTCGTAAGATAAATCTGTTTTTTTTTGCCTGCCTGTCGTTCTATTCTTCACGGCCCGTTGCGATTTTGTAAAAATTCTAGAATAGATCGCTAGTGAAATGTTTTGCGATATTTTAGAACATTTTTCTTTTTCTTTTATACACGCAAAGATACAAATTATGATAGATTATTGCGTTTTACAAGAATTGGATAGTTTAAACTATTATATAATAGAAGAGAGTGAAAAATCTTGTGGATAAATGTTTCTTTTCAGACGATCGTCCACGAAATGGTGCAATGTCGTGCATAATATTCGCGTGAGTACGCGATTAATATACTTTTTTGCGCTTTTTCCGCCCTAGATATGTAACAAATAATTTATTATTACGAGTAAATGGTTTGCATAAATACCATTCTTTTATTATAAAAAGTTTAGAGAAATCAACGAATATTTCTTATATTTTCATATTGTTGATATTTCTTTGCGTATTTCAACCCTTTGTGCTTTACGAACTTTTTTCTTATATATTAGATCGATTAATAATTCCATGCTATTTTGATTGTTTATTTGCTTAAAAAAAAAAAAAAAACCGCATGGAATTGTTAACCAACCTAATAGATAAATATACAAGTTTTATATAGTTATATAAAAAATAATAAAAATTATCTAATAAATTATTTAATTTGATTTATAGGTATTATTTTAATATACGTTTATTAAATATGGTCAGTCATTGGAATATTCGTAGCCGTTTCTACTATAAATTTAAAATAATTGATATTTGGTTGTAATGCAAAATTTTTATACATTTAAAGTTAATTTTAAGATTATTTACATATAGACATTTTGACATTTTAATTCAGGATACCCCCTTTAAGTCGATTATATAATTAATATACGTCAAACTTCGAATTAAACGTATTTCTACGTCGCATATTGAACGATAAATTCTAACTATAGCGAATTATTATTTTTGCACATATCAAATGGCGATAGATTCATTTAGATATATGACTATTTAAGTACGTAAAATACGAATAAAATAGGTACTTTCCAATATATAATAAATTTTTCTTGAAACGAATAAAGTTTCGAATTTTAAGCACGAACTTTTTCACCGCTAAGTGTACCTTCTTTTATCGTACGTACATATGTACGTATGTATGTACATACAAACTGTATGTACGGAAGGTAATTTCATTCGTGGTTTGTAAACGAGTGTCGATATACTCAGGAAGAATGAAAAAATACATTACTTGAGTTGCTTTCACCACGATGGAAACGCACAGTCATAACGTTAGCCTCGCCTCGCCCAGTTCATAAAAAATAATGCGTTAAAAGATGTGCATTATCAACAGCAAAAC